CTTCCTTAACAGGCCTCCACTTCCAGAGCTGTCGGACCTTCTCTGCCTCCTCTGCCGTGGCGGCCACAGAAGTTGCTACCACTGGAGCCCAGGGCAGGCTTGACAGTTGGCAAATCTAGGAGATGAACCACTTGTCTGTAACAGAGATGTGGCTTGCAGATGCAGGGAGCTCTGTGCCCATACATGTCAAAACGGGCGCGGGGGGGGCACAATAGAGAAGAAAGGAGGGGACGCGAGACAGAGGAAAGGTTGACCAGGGAAGCTGTGCACAAGGCAGTTATTTTATTTACATTTATTGACTTCATCTCTACCTCACCTTTCCCCCCAACGGGGACCCAAAGCAGATTGACTGTGTCATGTAATTCTGAGAGCGGTCAGGAATTTGTCCTATGTGGGGAAATGCATGGTCTCCTGGAGGGCTGGCCATCAGCAAAAGCCTTCCCTGTGTATGTTAGCGGTGTTTGTTCCTCTAGTCAGAGGAGGAAGCCCGTTTGCTGGCACATCTGCTCACCTTCTTACAAATGCGAATGATTCCAGCGGGAAAGACAATGGGACGGATAAGCCTTGCCCCCCCCTCCTCCCCCCTCCTCAGGCAGGAAACAGAACTTGAAGGGGGAGTAATCTTGCAATTGGCACAGCCTCTGCAGGCCAGAGAAACCTCCTGGATTTATAATTTGACACCGCATGGATTAAACGGAGAAACTGAGTGGCTATCTGTTTAAATGGGTATTGCGTAACATTTCTTCTGTTACTACTTTGTCTAATTGCATGTTTTTATGGCATTGTGAAATAATTTGTTGTGCTATTTTTTTTTTGTCTGTGGGTACTATCTCTTGAAGTCCTTTTGTCTTGTCATACCTAAACAAATTTTTCCCCTTTCGGTGACTTCTAATATTACACCAGCACTGTATGGGTATTATTGCCTTAAGTCCTTTTGCATTGTCATTGTTACATCAGCATTGCATTATATAGGTACTATCTCTTTACATTCTTTTACAATGTCATACCTAATTTTTCCCCTCTCTGTGACCTCTGACACTACAACAGTATGTCAGCATTCTCTAGTACACTATGTAAGTTCATGATATCTATTTGTGTACAATGATACATATTGATGTTACTGTGGCCCTGATAAGGTGTTTTTACTTGTTTTCTTAGGACCTAAACTGGAAGGTATTTCTTTATTTATATTTAATATTTTTATTGGTTAAAGGTAAAGGTAAAGGTTTCCCTTGCTCGAAAGCCAGTCGAATCCGACTCTAGGGTTGCGGTGCTCATCTCCGTTTCCAAGCCGAAGAGCCAGCGCTGTCCGAAGACATTTCCGTGGTCATGTGGCCGGCATGACTAAACACCAAGGCGCACGGAACTCTGTTACCTTTCCACCGAAGTGGTACCTATTTATCTACTTGCAATTTCTTGCTTTCGAACTGCTAGGCTGGCAGGAGCTGGAACGAGAGACGGGAGCTCACTCCGTCATGCGGCAACTCAGGTCTTGAACTGCTGAGCGTCTTAACCTTCTGTTGGAGGTTTTTGCTTGGGGGGCTTTAGGTTAGACCACCCCAGGTTCAATATCCAGGAATGGGCTGGAGGAAACGCTTCATTGACCTGGTGTGGTCATGGGGGCAGAGACAGTAGGGTTGCCATCCCCCTGATGGGGTGGGTTTCCTTCTGATTTTGGGCCCCCAAATCCACTGCCAACCAATTGGGTGGCGAGGGAGCCTCAACCCCAAAGAGCCCCACTGCACCTGATGCACCCGGAGGTAATGTCATCATGCCAGGCACATCAGGTGCGGGCAGGCGCTCTAACATTTGGCTAAACACTCTATCGTGAGTGTAGAGTTTTTTGCCAAATGCTAGGGCATCCCCCTACGACGCCCCTAGCATGATGACGTCACTTCTGGGTGATGTCATCAAGGCATGCACACTTTGCGCACACGCAAGAAGATCCAGGAGAGCGGCCAGGAGACCCCCGCTGGCAAAAGGTAGCAACCTGGCAACCCTAGGAGACAGAGAGCTAATGAAACTTCCTTGCAGGGGGAAATTGGGCTCTTTTTTCTTTGGGATGCTGAGCTGAACAGACCTCTCATCTAAGGTTGGGAGCAGGCAGCCATTTGGGACGATGCAGCTAGCCTAAAGAGCCAGGAGCATAATGAAAGATCTTTAGACAACTAGAACACTTAAGATAAAATGCCTGCCCTATATTTTACCATCAGATAGGGTATGTATAGAGCAAGGAACAGAGGATTTGCATTTCCTGACAGTTTCTTTTGTTTTCCGTGACTTAGTCTGGCATTGTGCTAAAAGTATATTAACATTATTTTTTAATTTTAAAATGGGAGCCCCAGGAGGGGGGAAGGTGAGCAGTTGGCAACTGGTTATTCTCCCAGGGGCGCACAAAGCAGGGAACTGCCCCCATGGTAGCCAGATGCTGGGCTAGTGGGAGACACTGAGACAAGGCCTCTGAGCTTGGAAGGCGAATGGGGGGTCCTGATTTCTTCAGTGGGGAATCCCTATATTGATCAGGTGGTGGTAATGGCTACTGGAACGTAAAAGGAAAAGCCCCTCCAGGGAGTTGGGAACCCTCTAGGAGGGCAGGGCAGAATGGAGCCTTCAGGCCAGGGTAGGCATGCTCTGCCACATTCTGCAAAATTGTTTGGGTTGCAATGGAACATCAGAAGAGCCCTGCTGCATCAGACCAGGGGTCCATCCAGCATCCTGTCTCACACAGTGGCCAGCCAGTTCCTCTAGATCAGGGGTGGCCAAACTATGGCTCGGGAGCTACATGCGGCTCTTTCACACATGTTGTGCAGCTCCCGGCAGGGTGGCTGGGGAAGCAAGGGGGAGGCTTGAGATGAGCAGGAGCAAAGAAAGCAAGCAACTTCAACTTTAAATACATTCACACACACACACACGGCCTGGAGAAGGCATTTGTCTCTTTAAATTCCTTCTCCGGCCAAGCCAGCCAGTGTGGGGGTGGGGTGGGGGGCTTGCAGGACACATTTAAAGTTGCTTTCTTTCCCCCTCTCCCTCCCCCATCTATTCTCTCTCTCTCTCTCCCTCCCTCTTCCCCCCTCCCCCTCTAAAGTTAAATGAGTTCTCTGCCTGGCTTGGCTCAGAGAAGGTATTTGTCTCTTTAAATCCCTTCTCCAAGCCAAGCTGGTGTGGCAGCAGGGGAAGGGGGCTTGGAGAACACATTAAAAATTAAAGGCATTTTCCAAGCCCCCACCCTGTGGCCCAGTCTGCAGCTTGGAGAAGGCAATTGTCTCTTTAAATCTTTTCTCCAAGCCAAGCTGGTTGGCATGGGAGCATGGGGAGGGGGAGTGTTGGAGAACACAAAAGTTAAAGTTGCTTTTTTTCCACCTCTCCCTTCCTTCCTCCCCCCTCCCCACCATCTGTTTGCTTTCTTTGTTTCTCTCTCTCTCTTTCTATTTCTTTCCACCTCTCTCTCTTTTTCTCTCTCTTAGACAAATAAATATCATAAGCAAACAAATAAATATCATTACCAATATCTGTTTTTACCCCCTTTGTTTTTACTATTGGCAGTCTCATTTAATGTTAATAAAAACAAATTTGTATATTTTTCAGTTAAAACGTGTGGGTAATATTTGTTCATGTCGTGCGGCTCTCAAACATCTGACATTTTGGACTTCCGGTTTATGGCAGCATGCTTGCAGACTCACCTCCCGGACTTCCCGGGGGTGTCTCCGTGCTCCAGCAGAAGGAGGGGGCGAGTAGGCTCGTAACCCCCCCAGGGGCCCAGCGAAGGGGCCCTGGCCAAGGAGCGCTGAGGGGTTAGCCTCTTCGATGGCGGAATGCCAGAGAATCGAGGCTCCCCTCTGCTCCAGTGGTTCTTCCAGCCAAGAGACCGAATGGTATTAGTGAAGCTAACCGGGCGCAGGAGATCGGGCGTGAAAAATGATGAAAGAAGCATGGTCGGAAGGCCAACTATGAACGTGAGTCAAATCGGAAACAATTTTTAAAAGAAAAGACGCTCCCTGTCTGGAACGGGAAAAGCGAGCGGGGTGGTGGTGGACGCCTCCCATGCGCATAGACTGTCGAGCGAAGGTGGGGAGCGGAGGAGAAATGCGATTAAACTGCCCAGAAGTACTTACCCAATCGAGCTAAGCAGTCAAACGCATATTCAGAGACTTAAAAAAAATTTTTTTTAGGAAGTAAGTATTCTGTTTTGTATTCCTTGCTTGTCTTTAGCTAATAAACAATTTTATTGTTTAAATAACCATGTGTTGCATTCCAGCTAACTTTCTTTTAACATTCTACCCCGCCTTGGTAAGGGGCACTCACCAGACCATCACGAACCTAAAGGGGGTGGGAACATGTGCAGGTAACACTTTATACAGGGTTAGTTTAGACTGACAAGTGCTACAGTTGCATTTCCCCAACAGCCAGCACACAGCAAGTTACAGTAGTCTCGCCCCGGGGGTGACCATTGCGTGGACTACGGTGGCTAGGTCAGGGCGCAACAGGGAAGGGGTTAATTGTCGAGCTTGGCATAGATGGAAGAACGCCAGCCTGGCAAGATTTGTGACCTGGGCCTCCATGGTTGAGGCATCCAGGATCACACCCAAATCCCTGACGGATTCCACTGGCACCAATGGCGCCCCGTCAAGAGTGGGAAGTATATGCCTCAATCCCCCCAGCCACAGAACCTCCGTCTTTATTGGATTCAGCCTCAGTCTGCTCTTTGTTAACCCATCACACCATGGCCTCCAAATCCACAGCCAAATGGTGCGGGGCGATATTCTGGCAGCTGTCCAGTGGCAGATATAGCTGGGTGTCATCAGCGTACTGGTGACACCCAAGCCTGAAACCCTGCACCAGCTGGGCAAGGGGGTGCACGTAGATGTTAAATAACACTGGGGAGCGGACTGCCCCCTGATGAATCCCACGTATTAGGGGGGCACCTAGCTGACACCCTCTCTCCTAGCTCCACCCTCTGACCCCAACCATGGAGAAATGAGGGTTCCCCCATGGACTCTCACGTCGATGAGGCGGTGGGTCAGAGGAATGTAATCAGCGGTGTCGAACGCCGCTGTGACATCTAACAACAGCAGCAGCGCCGACCCGCCTCGATCCAGCTGTCTGCGGAGATCGTCTGTCAAGGCAACCAGCACCGTCTCCATCGCATGGCCAGGGTGAAAGCTGGACTGGGATGGATCCAGTGCCGATGTGTCATCCAAGAAACTCTGGAGCAGCTCGGCTGCCGCTCTCTCAATCACCTTACCCAGAAACGGTAAATTCGAAACCGGGCAGCAACTGACAGGATCACTGGGGTCCAAAAAGGGTTTGTTGTTTTTAAAGGTGTCACCGGACTCAAACTGTGTTCTGTTTGCTTCACACCAACACCCAATTCAACATGTCACGGGGAAAGAAGTGACAGCCATTGTGGTCTAGTTTCCATCTGGGAGACCTGGGTGCAGATTCACACTCTGCGATGAATCTCACTAGCAGTGCAGTTCTAAAGAGAGTTACCGCCTAAGTCCATTGAGATCAGTGGGTTTTAGGGATACCATTGTTGGAGCGACAGCCTGCTAAGAGTAATTACTTTAAATAATGTAGAAAGAGTAGTTTAGTCCACTTGTGCCCTAGGGGGAGCTGTGGAGCATTCTCTAGTGTTTTTGGCTTCATTGAATGTTTTTCTCTTGCAGTTCAGCCTACCTCTTGTTCTTTTCTCTCTCTGCTGTGTGTGAGTCTGTGTTCGTGCTCTGAAGGCTTTTATATTGCATTAGTGGCCTGCGGTGAGTTATCGTTGTAGTGATTCATTGAAAGCAAACGCCGGGCGTGGATTGGATTATTTCCTGAACTCTGCCAACACCCAGCCTAAACAGGAAACAGAAGGGACACCCTACGGTGTTTTTAGACTGTAAGCTACTTGGGGCAGAGAACACACGTTCTGTCTCTTACTTTTGTAAAGCACCTTGCTGTGCCAACAGTGTGATATAAATAACAATAAAGCAGAACGCCTCTGTCAGCTCAGAAGAGTGTAACTCTGTTTAGGAGTGCACAATCACTCTGCCGTGGGCTTGTTGTGAGGACAAAATGGGGTACTGCTTATTTTTAAGCATTTGCAGTGGACATTTCTCAAAGAAGACTCAACTGTTTATCTGCTCAAGCTCCTAGAAGGAAGGACCAGATAAAAATGTAACAGATAGATAACCCTGTCCCCCTCATAGCCCATAGGCAGAATCCAATTAAATGCAGACATGGCTTGTCCTTTGTTAATTTCAATACAGATACATCCTGCTTTTCTCTTTTTAAAATGATCCCAAAACAAATTAAGATACTCAACAGAACAAAGTTTGAGTCCAGTGGCACCTTTAAGATAACGTTTAACTTAAGACAAGTTTTCCTGTGCATGCACACTGCTTACGCAATTCCTGTTAGCCGAATTGCTTTATTTATAGCAATTGGCAATTTATAAATGGGTTCTTGCCAATTTATACCAAGGTCCTGATCCCACCAAGGATCTGCGGTGGCTCAAGTGATTAAGACTCTGAACTGCAGGCTGTGGAAGGTACAGTAGTTCAGCAGTTCGAGACCCGGTGCCGCATGATGGAATGAGCTCCCATCTCTAGTTCCAGCTCCTGCCAATCTAGCAGTTCGAAAGCAAGACATTGCAAGTAGATAAATAGGTACCACTTTGGTGGGAAGGTAGTCATGCCGGCCACATGACCACGGAAACATGACCACCTCAAACTCCCTCCCCCCCTCCGCAAGACAGTTGGCATTGTCAGTTGCATATGGGACCTGCTGTATTCTGAGGTAAAATATGTCCTCACTCACAACACATCACTTCCCCTTCAACAGAAACAAACCCAATAACACAATCATGCCACACCACAAAACAGACAGATCACACCACAAGCAGAATACCACAAGGCAAAAAATGATAAGAAACGGTGCCAGCAGTCATCCCATTTCTGCCACAGATATGTACCTGAGAGCGCTTCAGAGGATGGTGTGCAGGTCCCAGGTTCATATTTTAAAAGCTGCCTGAGGGATTATGGACCATTCACACACTTTCAACCTTAACATATGGGGGAGAGGAGAATGATGTCAGCTGCTTTGGTTCCCACTGCAGGGAAAGACTGCCCTTTCCCTAGGCAGAGGCTGCAGGTGGGGGGGATGTAAACCTGAAGACAGACAGGCAGATAAAGGTAGGCTGATGGTTGCCTGGAAAGGACATAGGGTTGCCAACTCCAGGTTGGAAACTTCCAGGATATTTTAGGGATGAAGCCTGCTGAGGGTAGGGTCTGAGGAGGAGGAAGAGGGGGACCTCAGACAGACACACCATAGACCCCAACCTCCAAACAAGCTGTTGCCAATCTCCAGG